GGCTGGCATACCCAAGATCGGCAGGTTGGAGAGCAGGGCTCTTGCTCACAGGCTGTGAAGATCGACAAATCCCAAGTTCAGCAGGTAAGCTGCTAGATCAAGTCCCAAGAACCAGAGGTCAGATGAACAGGGGCCAGCTGTAGGATCCAGAGCAAGCAAAAAGCCAGAACATCTGCTTATATTCGGATGTAGGCCACATGCCTAAGGAAACTCCCTTTCAACTGATTGGCTGCTTACAGCAGATCCCATCATGGGAGTGATCACATATAAACACTGAGAATCATGGCCCAGCCAAGTTGATGCACAATCTTGACCATCACATTGTGCTTTCGTTTTCATTTGACTCTCAGTAATTTGTGATTTCTCTTTGATTTCTTCCTTGACCCATTGGTGGATTAGTAATATTTTGTTTAATTTCCATATGTTTGTGTATTTTTCAGTTTTTTTTTCTTTCTGTTATTGCTTTCTAGTTTCACTCCATTGTTGTCAAAGAAATAGTTCGTATGATTTCAGTCTTTTTATATTTATGAAGATTTGCTGTGTGACCTAATATGTGGTCTATTCCAGAGAATGATCCTTATGCACTGGAGTAGAATGTATATTGTGCTCTTCTTGGATGAAGTGTTCTACATATGTCTGTTAAGTCAAGCTGGTTTATAGTGTCATTCAGGTCATCTATTCCCTGTTGATACTCTTTCTAGATGTTTTGTATTGAAATCTCCAAATATTACTGTAGTGCTGTTTCTCCCTTCAATTCTGTCAGTGTTTGCTTTATATATTTAGGTGCTCCAGTGTTGGGTGCATATGTATTTATGATTGTTAAACTTCTTGATGAGTTGACCCTTTTTTTACTATATAATGTCCCTGTTTATTTCTCCTTACAGATTTTGTCTTAAAGTCTATTTTGTCTGATATTAAGATTGCCACTCCAACTCTCTTCTGGTTATTATTTGCATGGAATATTTTTTTCCATCCTTTCACTTTAAACCTATTTGTGTCCTTAGGTCTAAGGTGTGTCTCTTGTAAACAGCATATAGTTGGGGCATTTTTTTTTTAATGCATTCTGCAATTCCCTGCCTATTGATTGGAACATTTAGTCCATTTACAGTCATTGTAATTACCAACAGAAAGGGCTTACTTCTGCCATTTTGGTTATTTGTTTTTGGTGTGTCTTAAGTCTTCTTTGTTTCCTTTAATACTGCCTGATTTTTTTTTCAAGTATGCCATTTTTGGTCCCTTCTCCTTTCCTTTTGAGTATGTTTTTTAGATATTGTCTTAGTGTTTACCGTAAATATTACATTTTATACCATACGTTTGTAACATCCGAAAGTAGGTTGATACCAACTTAACTTCAGTAACATACAATAAATTATATACCTATACCATTTACCCTCATTTTGATGTTGTTATAACCAATTACATCTTTATATTTCATGTGCCGTTTAACATAATTTTCTCCTTGTTTTTATACATTTCTCATTAAAAAGTATGAAGAACAAAACAAAAGTATCAAGCATGAATACCTTATTACTATTCCTTATATTTGCCCATGCAACTACCTTTACTGCAGATCTTACTTTTTATGTATGTCTTTGAATTACTTTCTAGTATCTTTTTTCTTCCATCTGTAGGACTCTCATTAGTATGTAGGGGTGGTCTGGTGGATATTAACTTTCTCATCTTCTGTTTGTTTGGGAATATTTTAATTTCACAGTCATTTTTAAAGCAGTTTTGCTTTTTTTCCCCCTTTTCTTTTCTTTCAGCACTTTAAGTATATCATTTCATTGCCTTCTGGTCTCCATTGTTTCTGAGGAGAAATAAGCACTTAATCTAATTGGGGATTCTTTATGTGTGACTGTTCACTTCTCTCTCGCTGCCTTTAGGATTCTCTCTTTGTCTTTACTTTTTGAGATCCTGAATATGATGTATCTCAGTGTAGATCTCTTTGGTTTATCCTGCTTTGAGTTCTTTGAGTTCTTGGATGTGTACATGTCCTTTATCAGATATGGGACTTTTTCTGTCATTATTTCTTCAAATATTCTTTCTTTCTTTTACTCTCTCTCATCTCTTTCTGAAAGTCTTATGACGGGTATATTAGGTCTCTTGATGTTGTCTCATAATTCCATTAAACTGTGCTCATCAGTCTTGAGCCTCCATTCTTGTTGCTCTTCAAAAACCAAAAAACCCAAACCCATTGGCACTGAGTTGATTCTGATTCATAGGGATCCTATAGGACAGAGTGGAACTGCCTTATAGGGTTTCCAAGGAGCAGCTGGTGGATTTGAACTGTTGACCTTTTAGTTAGCAGCCAAGCTCTTAACTACTGTGCCACCAAGGGTCCTTGTTGCTCTCCAGTCTCTGTAATTTTCAACTATTTTATCCTCTAATTCACTGATCTTTTCTTCTGCCTGATCAAATCTGTTGTTACATCCTTCCATTGTGTTTCTCATTTCAGTTATTGTCTCTTTCAGTTCCAGTATTTCTGTTTTGTTTATTTTTAGAGCATCTAGCTCTCTTTCTTTTTTTTTTTATGTGTTGTTTTCCTTATTTCTTCTAGATCTTTGTCTCTGTTTCCCCTAGTTCTTTGATGATGTTTAATATTGTTGTGTTATTTTCTTTCATTCTGTTCATAATTTCGGCTTCTGTAGATGCAATTTCACTCTTTGTCTTATTCATTGAATTGGCCATTGTTTCTCTTATTTTTGTGTGTCATATGATTTTATGGGGGGCATTGGAATTTTCAAAGTTGTTAACTTTCTCAGTTTTCACCAGTATTTGCCCACACTTCTTTCTGCAAGAAACTGTTAGTCAGGTAGAGCCTTTGGACCTTGCTTACCACTTTCTTGTTATAGCTCCTTCTTTCTTCCTGTTTTAATTAGAATTTGAAAGTCCCATATCTTGGTTTTCAACTTTCAATAGTGCCTAAACACACCAGAGAACACACAGAGATCAATATGTCCACCTGAGGGTGCAATCCTCTCTCTCTAGTTATCACTTCCTCTGCTGCCCTGTTTCTGCAACCGTATTTTCAGTTGGAAATCCCACACTCAATGATCGCCTTGTGGTGCTGGGTGTTGACCTCAGATTTTGCCTGAGGCTTCTGTCTCTGCTTTCTGGGGGCCACTGTACTGACATTCAGTGGAAGCACAGGCAGACTTTTCTCCCTATCATGAGGAGGAAGGGTTGGCACTCCCCAGACCAACCTCAGAGAGAGCTGTCTTGTTGATTTCAGGAGCAAGCCCCTGTGGCCCTGTGTTGGTTGGTGGAGCAGGCTCCACTTAAGTGACCCATCTCCTAGCTCTGTGTTAGAGGACCTTTTGTAGCAATTTGTATCAGCCCAGCAGCCAACAGTTAGCAGATGACAGACTGGTATGCTCTGAAGGAACATTTAGGGATATCTGCTTTGTTGATGTCAGAGTCCCACAGTAATATGTTGGTTGTAGATGCAGGCTCCACTCAAGCTGATTACTTTCTAGTTGACAACAACCTCAGTCAACATTTCTCAGTGCTGACTGGAAGGGAGAGCAAATGTACCCAAAATGACCCCCAGGGAAATCTGTCTTTTTGATCTCAGAGTCCTGAGCTATGGGGCATCCACTATGTGCAAGCAGGCAGAGAGCTGGTTGTGGGAGTGCACTCCATCGCAAGGGACCTTCTGTAGCAAATCACAGCAATCTGGCAGCCAACGGGTACGGGGTGAGGTGGGACTGGCATGCTCAGAATGGACCCCGAGAGAGGTTTGTGTTGTTGATTTCAGAGCCTCACTGTTAGTATGTTGGATGTGGGTGCAGGCTTCACTCAAGGTGCCCACTTCCTAGCTCACAGCAGCCTCAGTCAGCAGTTCTTAGCATAAGGGGGCAGACAGACCTGAACTGACCCCTGGGAAGATCTGTCTTGTTGATTTCCAGGGCCTGACTTATGGAGTGCACAGGCAGGCAGGCAAAGAACTGGCTTTGGGAGAGTGATGACTCCGCTGCAAGGGGCCTTCTGTAGCAATTCAAAGTAGCCTGGAAGCCCAGAGTTACCAAGTGGGAGAGGGGTTGGTATGCTCTGAATGGACCTCCAAGGAGGTCTGCCTTGTTGATTTTAGAGAAGCTGAGGGTCCTGTCTCTTCACAGGAAGAGGGTGTGGTGGTTAGGGAAGCCTTTACTGGCATCACTTTCCCAGTTCACAGCAGCCAGTGGCACACGTGGTTGGTGAGAGGGACAGGAATGGTGGGAGAAGTGATTTTTCTACCATATGCAACTCGTAGTTGACTCCTTGGTTCTTGCTCTTCTGCAGTTCCCTGCTGCTGTCCTTTGCTCCCCGATTCAGAATACCTCAAAGCCAACCACTGTTTTCTTGTATTTGTGGAGGAGTGTTGGAATGATTGGGAGCCCTGGTTGCACAGTGGTTAAATGCTTGGCTGCCAACCAAAAGTTTGAACCCACTAGCCACTCCGTGGGAGAAAGATGTGGCGGTCGGCTCCCATAAAGGTTTATAGCCTTGGAAAACATATGGGGCGGTTCTAGTCTGTCCTGTAGGGTTGCTGTGAGTCAGAATCTACACAACAGCAACGGGTTTCAATTTTTGGTTTGAACTGGAACTATGATCTGCTTGCACTGTCATCTTCCCAGAATCCTGTGTGATTTTATAGTAAAATTTTGACATTAAATTATTTATGTATTGTCTTGTATTTTATCTTATAGCTTAGACATATGATCAGTTTAACTAGTGTTACAGAATATCTATATGGTCACCTACCACTGACAACTTGCACTGTCTAAACATCTTGTGTTCCTAGAACTTATTATTAAATATAAGTAAGAATCTCTCTTTCCAATGAAAATTTTAAAAGGTAAGACAGAAAGAGTTTGCATTGTAACTACAGGACAAGTCCTAACGAATAATCCACATTTTTCAAACATCCCCTAGAGGTATCTCCTAGTCATTAGGAAGTTCAATATTGCTTTCCTCTCCTCTGGTACCAAGTATTAACACACATGTGTTTTTCTCCACAGTAAAGCCGACCGTAATTGATGTTGACATTTATGTTAACAGCATTGGGCCTGTGTCATCGATAAATATGGTAAGAAGCTATTTTATTTTCTGATCTGATGACCTTGCATCTGTTCCTGCCTCCATGCTTGTTGTGGATTTCCATCTGAGATTTACCACACTGGTCTAGAACTCACAGTTGATTTCTTAAATCTGGGGCATTTGTTGATAGTTTATATGCTGAAAATGGTAAAAACCTAGAAGTAGGATCTGTGACACTAACAGTGAAGCACAGATCTCATGATTAAGGAATAGTCCCCTCTCCTCTGTACACATATTTACAGCTCATAGTTACCTTGATGGGATTGTCTATAATTTTGCAGTCATTGGTTGTATTGGACTTCATGAATACAAGGGATGTATGTATGTGACAGCTTTTTGACTTTTAGTTCCTTTTTATCAAAATCAAGAGATCTACCTTTTAGTGTTTCTCAGGAAAAGATGAGAGATTACCCAGCTCATACTTCTGTCTTTAGTTTGAGTTCTGCAGGTACATCAGCAGTCTTTTTTTTTTACAGGAATATGTACATAGAAGGAGCCCTGGTGGCACAGTGCTTAAGTGCTCAGGTGCTAACCGAAAGGTCAGCGGTTCAAACCCACCAGCTGCTAAGCAGGAGAAAGATGTGTCAGTCTGCTTCTGTAAAGATTTACAGCCTTGGAAACCCAATGGGGCAGTTCTGCTCTGTCCTGTAGGGTTGCTATGAGTCAGAATCGACTCAATGGCAATGGGTTTGTTTTTTGTTTTTGTTTTTTAAATGTTCATAGAATCACTCATGTGATTTCACTGAGTAGGGTATTTCCACAGATATACAGTCAAAATGAGCTCAAGAAATAACTATTTTCACTATTATAAGAACTCAAGAAAAGGTTTAAACACAGAAGAAAACATTCTTTGATGGTTACGAGGGTAGGGAGGGAGAGGGAGGGTTATTTACTAACTAGATGATAGATAAGAATTATCTTACGTGAAAGAAAGGACAGCACTCACTACAGGGGAGGTCAGCACAACTGGACTAAACCAAAGCTAAGAAGTTTCCTGAATACAATCAAACACTTTGAGGGACAGAGTAACAGGGGTAGGGGTCTGGGGACCATGCTTTCAGGGGACATCTAGGTCAACTGGCATAACAAAGTTTATTAAGAAAATGTTCTGCATCCTACTTTGGTGAGTGTCGTCTGGGATCTTAAAAGCTTGCAAGCTGCCGTCTAAGATGCATCAATTTGTCCCAACCACCTGGTGTAAAGGAGAATGAAGAACACCAAAGACACAAGGAAAGTATTAGCACAAGAGACAGAAGGGACCACATAAACCAGACACTTCATCAGCCTGAGACCAGAAGAACTAGATGGTGCCCACCTACCACCAATGACCGCCCTGACAGGGAACACAACAGAGAGTCCCGGATGGAGCAGGAGAAAGGTGGGGTGCAGAACTCAAATTCTAGTAAGACGACCAGACTTAATGTTCTACTGAGACTGGAGGAACCCTGGAAAGCATGGCCCCCAGATTCTCTATCAGCCAAGAACTAAAACAATTTTGAAGGCCAACTCTTCAGACAGGGATTGGACTGGCCTGTGGGACATAAAAAGCGATACTCGTGAGGAGTGTGCCTCTTAGCTCAAGTAGATACAAGAGGCTAAACGGGCAGCTTCCGTCCAGAGGTGAGATGGGAAGGCAGAGAGGGTTAGGAGCTGGTTGAATGGACTTGGGGAATCGGGTGGAAAGGAGAAGTGTGCTGTCACAGTATGGGGAGAGCAATTAGAGTCACATAACTGTGTATGCATAAATTTTTGTATGGGAAAAAATAAAAAAATAAAAAGAAATAACTATTTTCAATGTTCCCTGTAAGTAGTACTTAGCTATTACACATGTCTCTGTATGTGAAAGTTTTGTGCCATGCCTCCCTGCGTGGAGTAGGGAAGAATTCTAGGAGCACACAAAGGCACTGGAAAACCCAAGGGACGTCGAAATTCCTGTCCACTAGGTGTCTTCTGGAAACCCTGGTGGCATAGTGGTTAAGTTCTACAACTGCTAACTGAAAGGCTGGGAGTTTGAATCCACCAGGCTCTCCTTGGTAACTCTGTGGGGCAGTTCTACTCTGTCCTATAGGGTTTCTATGAGTCGGAATCAACTCAATGGCAATGGGTTTGTTTTTTTGCGGGGGGAGGAGCTGTCTTCTCTGTGTTCATAACTGCACATTTGCTGCTGGGTTTGTGGGATGTGTGAGGCTGGGAACAGGGAATTGTCAGAATCCCTCTTTATCATTACAGTGTTCTGCGGGTGGAAATGACCCCTCCAAAATTAGTAGGAAAATAATTTCTTTTCATTGACAGGTTTTAAAAATGTTCATCTTTACTCTGATAATACGAAGTTTACATGTAGGAGTAAAATTATAATTTACACATCATTCACTTGAAAAAATCCTCATGTCGTTCATAACCTGGTGAAAAATGGACAAAATGGCAAAAAAGCAAAATGAATATGACTATTTGCTTTACACAATCGATGGGCTGTAGAATGGCTGTATCTTAAAAGCAAATTGTAAACGTAATATTTACTTTTCCCTAGCATTTGATCAGTTGACTTCATAAAGAGAGTAATCTCTTATTAATGTAATTTTTATTTTATTTTCTGGAGTTTTGTTTTCTTACATTTGTTGCATATCACTTTATCCAGCACCTTTAGATCTAATACTAATTTATTTCTAACACTAAAAAAAAGCCTTTGTAGAAGTATAGTTAAAAAATTATTTTGGGAAAAGTCATGTTTGCATGTATAGGGATTTTTGTGAACTTCTGTATCTGTGAGATTACTTTGTGCCCAGTATTCAGTTTTGCCCTTAGAATTGATGGACCAGTTTCCTCATGGGAATTGTAGGCTGCAGAGGAGAGGGAGATGTCAACTGATAACCACTGCCGGTGAGAAGGACTTGCTAAGGCAGGCGTTCCCCTTGGAGAGTTGCCGGGAACTGGAATAGACTTCTCTGATGAGGTGATCTCACCCTGAAGCTTGACCGGTAGGCAAGAAATTTGAATTAGAATTATTACTAGTCCTTATACTTGTCCATGGTGACGAGATCCTTGGTGAGGAGAGGTAGGACAACAGGGTGCATGAACACATTGGGGGATGAGACCTGTGCACCCCATCCCTGTTCCATTCCACTCTTGGCTGAAGTTTTGAGGTGTGACGTTTGGAGGTGTCCTGGTTAAGTCATGTAGAGTCAACAAAAGATAGCAAGGAGGGAGGGAAATTCTATTCCATAAAAGTTATTATTACTGGAGGATGGTTTGTTGCCTCATGAAAAATTTCTGAGGGTATCTAAGCTCAAGAATGTTCGTTTTTCCAAAAGAAGTCAAGAGCGCAGCACCACAGCGCCACTTTGCTTTGGTTTTTTTCTCTACATTTATCTGCTTGAGATTTATAGCAAATTTCTCATCTGCAGTTTTGTACCTGTCTTACTTATCTGTGCTGCTATAACAGAAATACCATAAGTGGAGGGCTGTCATTCATTGAATTGTGTCCCACAAAAATATGTGTCAACTTGGCTAGGATCCTCTATTTTGTGATCTGATGTAATTATCCTATAATCTTCCATTTTGTGTGTTGTAAATCCTGACCTCTATGTATTAAAGAGGCAGGATTAGTGTGGGATGTATCTTGAGTCACCATCCTTCACCACCCTTACTCAAGCCACACCTTTGCTTGAGTCACATCTTTTATCTTACAAGAGATAAAGGGAGAGAGAAGCAAGCAGAGATAAAGATCTCGGTACCACCAAGAAGAAGAGATGGGACTAGAGCACATACTTTGGACCTAGGGTCCCTGCACTGAGAACCTCCTAGAACCAGGACACATAGAGAGTTGTAACGCTAGAGACAACATAAGATGGCAAGAAGCAGAAGCAGAGAAACGGTGGCAGGAAACCAGGAGACCTTTGTGAGGCAGTGCATAAACCAGCCGATGGAATGACAGAGAGATGAGTGCTGTCCTGTAGGAGGCTTCCTGGTGGAGTGGGGTGCCTCTGGACACTTACTGGCTGAGCTAAAGAACTTTGTAACACTTGCCTGAGCAGGGCAGAGGTTGGGTAGAGCGGCTGAGGACGAGTGAGATCTGCCTGCAGACACGACACAGCTGAGAAGAGGCTGCCCTGGTTGACATGGACCTTTCTCCAGAGCTGATAGAGAAAGACTTCCCCTTGAGCCGACCCCCTGAATTCAGACTTCTAGCTTCCTAAACTGTGAGAAAATAAATTTCTGTTTCTTAAAGCCATCCACTTGTGGTATTTCTGTTATTGTGGCACTAGATAACTAGAACAATGGCTTTAACAAACAGAAACTAATTTTCTCACAGTTTAGGAGGGTACAAGTCCAAATTCAGAGCACGATCACTCTCTGGTGGCTCTGGGGGAAGGTCCTTGTCTCTTTTCAGCTTCTGTTCCTCTGTTCCTTGGTGATCTTCACGTGGACTGGCATCTGTCTTCCCCCATCTCTGCTTGCTTTTCTGTGCCTAATCTACTCTTTTTATATCTTGAAGGTGATTGGCTTAACACACACCCTACACTGATATGACCTCATTAACACAATAAAGAAAGCCCTGTTCCCAAATGTAATTACATCCACAAGTACAGTGGTTAGGATTTACAACACATCTTTTGGGGGTTACAATTCAATCCATAACAATACCCTTCATCAGTTTTTGAAAAATGTTGACTACTACTTATTTAAATGTTGCTTCTGCATCTGCCTCTCTCTTCACAGTCTAGGATTCCAGTCATATGAATGTTAAACATTTCTACCTTCTCCCATTTGTTTCTTATGCTTGTTTTGTTCTCTCATCCTTCTGCTGTTCATGCTTCAGTCAGTGGAGACTCTTCTGACCTGTCTTCTAGCATGCTGAGCCACTCCTCATCTGTGTCCAATTATCTGTTAAAGACGTCTACTGAGTTCTTAATTTCAGTTACAGTATTTTTCAGTTCCAACGTTTTAATTTGATATTTTCTAACAGAATTCAGTTCTCTAGTGAAATTCTCC